TAGTCGTTTATGACCGTTGGAGATGAGTTATAGCCATTGGGAAGCTTTAAAAACATGCAATAAAGGTCATCTACATGAGATAACAAACAACATGTATGGCTATCAATAAAGGCCATCATAACACATTTTCAATATACATGAGATAACAAACAACATGTAATCATTCATGCTCAATACTCATGCATGCATAAAACAAAATAGGCAATCAATAGACAAAATAAAAAACATTAAGTTTAGAGGTTACCCATTCTTCATCTTGTATGGCTATAGCATTTGAATTTCTTCACTTTTGTCATCATTGCTCCCACACATCTTGTATGGCTAGTGCAAATATCTCTAGTTTCCTTAGGAACCCACACTTGTCTAATTTTAAAATGTTTTCTATTTTTAATAGGACAAGTATGTATATCATGACCATGATAATGACAATGTGAGCATTTTGCCATTATTAAGCTAGATGAATTATTTAAAAATATTTCTTTTTCTTTTGTTAAACATTTATGGTTAACGTTTAAATCATAATTTTCTTTTTCAAATTTTTCAATTTTCATTTTTGAAAGCTCTAAATCTTTTTTCAAACTTTCATTTTGATTTTTAAAATCCATTTTAGCTTTCAAAAGAAAATCATTTTCAACTTTAAATTTTGAAATCAATTTCTTGTATTTGGAGTTCATGGTCTCAAACTCTAAAAATAATTCATCATATGCATATTTTAACTCATTAAAAATAATATAAATCAAATTCACTAGGGTTAAAAGATACATTCGGCTCTTCAAGAGCCATAAAGCACACCACCTTTGGATTTGAGAGGAGGTTTGAATTTGATGGTTCTTCTTTCTTGTCACCATGTAATTCTTCAAGCTTATCCCAAAGATCCTTGGCATTAGAACATAAAGAAACTTCTTTATATATATCAGGACTAAATGCACAAAATAAAATATGCATGGCCATGGCATTTTGTTGAAATTTCTTTCGTTCTTGGTCATCTTCTTTAACTTCTTTCTTGGAGAAGAATATTCATTCAAGAGCATCTCCCATGCTCCAAGATCAATGGATTGAATGAATAACTTCATTAAGTTCTTCCAATGACCATAGTTAGCTCCATTGAAGTATAGAGGCTTGTCGATCGGTTGGGAGCCCTCCATGTAGAATGAGCATGAAGTGGAAGTCATCTTTTCGATTGAATAAGAAATTATTATAGTGCTTCTAGGATCTTCACAAGGTTGTTAAATCATTTATTGTGACTCACTCTGATACCAATTGTTGAGCTCGTACGAGCAATCGAAGATGCCAATAGGGGGTGAATTGGCCTTTAAAAAACTTTGGTGTGGAAGCAATAAAAGAAAAGAATTAAACGCAAGATTTATAATGGTTCGACTTTCTCAACCAAAGTCTTCATCCACTACCTTAGCTCCACACTAAGGATTTTAACAAATTCACTAATTTGTTCTTTCTTTTTCTAGGCTCAAGAGTAACATTTACAATTCTCTAGTTTTTCAAGGCTAAACTATAACCACTCTCTTTTTACAAAGGATAAGAAATGTAAACAAGAAACCTCACAGGGTAGGTGTTTACAAAGATTTAAGCTCACAAGAATAAAAACAAAAGATATTTAATTAAGCTCTATACACTTATGTACAAGTGAAAAATGAATGAAAACTATTTTCTCTTGATCTCTAAGCTTGGATAGGTGTAGTTGTTGGGACCGTCGGCGCACCCCATGGCGTAGCGGAAACAAAAATAGACGGTCTCACCAGCGATCTAAGTACGAAAAAGCTGAAATCGAGAGGAAGAGATGTGAATACTTACAGTGGGTTCCTTGAAAAACAGCAAGGACAACAGTGAATACTGGTGGTTTAGATCGGTTCGAATCTTAAGCATCCACGAAATCACGTCTCGGCCTCTATTCAGTTCACCCGATTAAGAGCAATCTTTGTTTTCCCCAAAACTCTTTTGAGAGAAAACGACTGAAGGTTTTGAGTGTGTATTGTAAAACAGCTGCTAGACCTAACACACCCTTTTATAGCCAAGTTACCCTAATCATATTAGGGTTTTATTATTTCAAATTAATTAAATCTATATCTAATTAATTGGAATTTAATAATCCTCTTATATCCAAGTTACCCTAATCATATTAGGGATTTTATTATTTCAAATTAATTAAATCTATATTTAATTAATTGAAATTAAATATTCGGGATTATTAAAACATATATTTAATTAACTCTAGATATATATTTTAGTAACGTACAACAAATTGTACATCTTTGCTCGTTTCAATCCTAGGGTGTGACCTTGTAGGTTCTTGTAACGTTAGTAATAATTATTAGAACATATCTAATATTACATACAATGAGTGACATCTAGCAATATATCATTGTCACCTAAGTTACAAGAAAATATGATTCGACATATCATCTTGGTGATTACTCTTTTATTTATTACATCCTTATGTCCTTTATATCTAGAATAGGCACAAGTCTTAGAATAGTCACACTTGTATAGCCCATATATTATTGCTTGATATTTAGAGTAGACTTTAATTAACGAATAGTTTATGATATCTTATATAAACTTATTCGAGCATGGTCATGCTTTTCTAGTCTTACTCAATCAAGTGGCATGTGATATATTTCCTATTATGTAGGAAGGACAAATCCTATCTTAATCATACACACCCACTACATATATTGAGATATATTCAATAACAGTCTTTATAGAGCAACCAGTTACGGAGCTTGTTTAGCTGCATCAAAACATACAATAATATATGTTGGGATAGTATTGATCTCAAGTATGAGGATCATACATATAGTCATCACCATGAGCAATGTTATAACTGTCACATAATAATCCAAAACATATGCTCATGGTCGGTCAATCCAATACATTGTTCTCTAACAATATAATCATGTATCAATTCTGACATCTCTATATCAATGACAACTCATTGTCATAAATCAATAACATGTTAGTCTTAAGCGTATTATTATTGTCCATGCCCATAATAATACTTGACTAGGGATCTTTTAATAATAACAATTATATCATTATATGGACTTTATTATCTTCCAGTTTATGTTAAACACATATATATAAATGACAATAATAGCGGCAATGCCTTTATTCAATTAAAATCGGTAAATAAAAGTATTATTACAATCATCATATGATTGGTCTTTGGGTATACTCTAATAGTAGTAACATTCTTCAAGTGTCCTTGGAGTGTTTTTATTGTGTGGTATGAGTTGCTAGCTGTTTATGATCGTTAGGGATAAATTATAGCCATTGGGAAGCTTTAAAAACATGCAATAAAAGCCACATGCACGTGCAGTTTAGAAACTTTTGAGAGAGTTTCGAAACTTTTAAACATAATGTTCTTGAAAGTTTGATGAAAGTTTCGAAACTCTTGCTTAAAAATATAACCGTTGAAGAAAATCGAGCCGTTAAAATAGTTTATGGGTGCAAAGTTTCGAAACTTTTGTAAAGTTTCAAAACTCTTAATAAAAATTTCTAAACTCTTACAAAGTTTCCAAACTAAGAACAATACTAGTGTATGAACAATATCATGAATAATGTTAAATAGTGATTGAATAGTATTTTTCATATTTAAAAAGTTTAAATACATTTTAAACACTTTAAATCTATTTTAATTAACTCAAAAACATTTAATATATATAAAGCAGCTAACAACACATATTTTTCAAGTTATTTTGGACTTTGAATCATTTTTTAAAAATCTGATTAAGTCTAAAAATCAATTTTACAATTATTTATATCAAAATATAAGTTCAACACAAAACCTCAAACCCTTATTTATAATCTTACCTCCAACGACTAGAAATTTGAAATATCCATCCGAACTCGTAATGTCGAGTTGACGAGTTCCTTTATTTTTTTGTAAATATATATATATATATATATAATACATTTTTTACAAAAAAAATAGTTTTATTGGACTCGTCACCTGAGCGTGACAAGTCATTAAAATCTAAATAAAATAATGGCTCACATAAGGCCCTCAATGCAAGGACTATTAAAAATTAATATCTGAATGAATTCATCACGTCGACGTGACAAATTTGATATTCAATGTAGAAAATGTTATATTTTTCAAAATAATTTTCTGGGTAGCCCCAATACCCTAAGTAATTTACCTGCCTAAGGTATTGGGTAAAAAAACCATGCTCAGTTGAACTTAAAGCCCGTCAAACACGCCGGCTATGCTTCTATTCTTTTAAAGGAATTCATTATTTTATTTTCAGCTATTTGGGGAATAAAAAAGAAAAGAAAAAAAATGAAAATGAGAGGGTAATTAGAGGTAGGGGTAAACATTCGATCAAGTTGAGAAAAAAAATTTCGAGTTATTCTAGTTGATGAATCCTAATTTTCAATTCGGAATTGATTTAAAATTTTTTCGAATCGAGTCAAATTTTTGAGTTTGTGTTTAAATTTATTTATTAATATTTATAATATTATTATATTATTTGATTTCAATTTAATGATTTTTTATGATCATATATATATATATATATATATATAATCTATTCATGTGTGATTTTTGATAAAAAATTCAATACATATATATTTTTTTTATATGTGATATACACATATTATATAAAATTAATAGAGTCGACTCAAACTTAAAAATTCTATTAATTATTAAAAAATTTGAGTTATTTTAATTATTCAAGTTATAATACAACTCGATTTGAACTTAAATTTTTTCCCGTAGATTCAAATTTATGAAATTTTTGAGTTGAATTTTTTAATCGAATAAAGTAAAAAAACAATTTTTCGAGTCAAAAAAAAAATTAGGATTGGAGTGAGGTAGAAAGAAAATTAAGAGAGGGTCTACGGAATGCCAACGCAACGAACCGAGGCCAAAATTGAATCTAAAATTGATGCTGTCACCTACTTTTTTATAGCTCCGATCCGCATACTGCTCAGTAAATTCTCAAATTTCAACGAATTTTTAACCTCCAAACACCAGCAAAACAGAAGGTCGATAGTCAGGGAAAGAAGGAAGGAAGCGATGATAACGCGATCAAATTTAGCAGAGCAGTTGAGAGAGTATCAGATTCGATCCAAGCACGATTGGGCCTCCGTTTCGATTTTCACTTCAACGTCTAATTTTACTTCTTCTAGGTATATCTAATTCCATTATTTGCGTTTTTCGGTATTTTTTCCGTTAATTTTTCTCTTTCGAATATAACGTTGGAATTCGTAACTGTTTTAACCTGGTTTTGATTCTATATCAAGATCTTTGTTCTTTACGGTATGGTTATGATTTTTTTTCCATTAGTTTGAACTTCGATCGGAAAATTTTACCGGTTTGCGTTTATAATATAATTCAGATAAAAAGTTCAGCTGTGGTTCTCTCTATATTTTTTATTTTTCAAAAATAAATTCCACTTTTCAATCCAATGATACATTTACTAAGAATTGGGGCGGAGCAAAGATTTTTAGAGCAATCAAATTATTGTTTGGAAATACTTTGAAATTTTAGTTGGTTCAAGAAGCGAAATTAACTCTTAGTTTTTATGGACTGCTATTGAGGCCGAAATATGTTAATTAGACCCTCAAAAAGTATAGACCGATAATATTTGAAACCGTTGGTTCATCTTAGTTTTCATCAGAAATAGAAATAAGATGGCTGGAAGAAGCCTGCCCCTTGGGGGTGACCAGAGAATTAGAAAATTCCTCCAGTGTGTATCATGTAGCTGATTCGTGGGACTGAGAGTTTGTTGTGGAGATGAGTACAGGTTCTGATAATACGGTAGCCCTCGCAAATCAGCTTTAGGTGTACTTATGAGTTATGACATTGTTGTTATCTTGCTAACCCTTACTTTTCTACTTGTCTGCCGGGTTTTACATTTTATATTTTCAACTGAATCAATGAATTGGGTGGTTTTAGTGTGAATTAACTGTATGATGGTAGATGCCGTTGGTTCAGCTGTAACGGTTGTATATTATGTGTATCTCTAGTTTTTTCTCAGCTTTGAAGTATCCAGAAGAGCAGAATGCTTATCAATCTTGGGAATAGGTTCTTCAGAATTTGTTTGGATTATCCGAGATCATTGAACATTAGGCTAGGTGTCCTTATTGCTCAGATTGAGAAGCCTTGATGCCATAAGTTGAAAACATTAAGCTGTTGACATTGAACTTATACTTTGCAGCATGTGTTCATTTGATGTTTTTTGCTACTTATGCATGTGTAGTTCCAAAAAGTTTTGAAATATTTGTAGGGTTACAATTAGATTAAATAAATTATACGAGGCAGGAGATTCCAACCTATTATTTGAGAATGTGACATACAGACTAGCTAGTTTTATTGTGATCCTTTCATTTGGTCTTCTTTGCCCTGTTATCTAATCATTGCACTTTCTTGTTTCGTGATTGCAGGGTCGATGTTGTGCTCTTTGTTATATGGGAACTTGTTATTTTAGCTTTCCTGGTTTTTTCAGCTGTTTCTTTATATTTTAGGCATATGCAACTTGCCTTTATCCTAGTATGCATAACTATGCTATTGCTTCTCTGCATGAAAATCACAAAACAAATTAGATTGGATAGGAAAAAGAAAAGGAGGATGCTTCTTCCGTTATCTATGTAGAACTACATGAAGCTTGGCTTGGGTTTTAAAAAAAAGGGATCAACTTGTGGTTTAAATTTGAGATCTATTGATCATTGCATTTTGTTCATGCTTACTGTGGTAAAGAGAATGTGAATTGGCCCAAGGCTAGCTGATGCTGGAATACGGTTTCGATATGATCACCTCAAAATTTGAGGAACCATTGGGGAGTCTAATTTAATTGAGGTGGAAAGTTGGGATGCTCTAATTGAACTGGGTAGCAGTTAATTTTAAGGTACAGGGCGGTTCTCACTACCTTTTTTCCCCTATTCGTAGCTGTGAGAAATTAAATTTAGAATGCTGATCCAGGTGGGAATGTATTAAACAATGTTTGCTTTATTTTGTAACGTATGCAGACTTGGTTGTGGTCATAAAGACATCAGAGAATAGGAGTAGATGCCGTGAGTGATTGAAACATTTTTGCATGTATGAATGATACACCCGTAAAGTTGATTTGCAACAGATCAATAGTACACGTAGGTTGAAGAGTTCTACTGTCCACTATTAAATTATACAATACTTAATAATTCCTTTTCTCTATCTATTTATACTTTTTGATCGAGACATCCAATCTCTTGGGAATTTATTAAAAACCTGAAATTCAAGTCAGTGTATGGCCTCTTAAAGCAAAAGCAATGATCCCCAGGGCATTTAGAACGCAGAAAATCAAAGTCTTGTCTCTTGTTTGATTGGGGTACCCCAATCAAGCCTTCCCTTGGCATATAAATCATCCACGTCATTTTGCACTGTGAGATGACTTTTATGGTGTAAATTCCTTTTTAACCCGATCACGGGACAAAAAGATTAAAGGTAAAGTATACAAATGATTTTTCAATTATTAAGAGTTGTAAATGTATTATTTGACTATTCATATGTTTTAAATTAGTCATTTTTCGAATGAAAAATCATTATACAATTAAAGTAGTTCTAAAATCAAATTTTGATTTTTTTTTCACGGCATAATGAGCTTCAACAAAATTCTTGTTAAGCAATGGTCAAGTCCGATAACACGAACAATGCCTCTGGTAATTCGGAGACGTGTCTTTGAACCAATGAAACTACATACTCCGAGAATGCAGCTCACTTGGCAAAGTTTTAGGGCCATTCTAGACAATCCGAACTCTTCCTCCGACAATCTGAAGAGATTTTTGAAAAAGTTGGTGCGGAGATATGTTCGCCAAGGGAACAACAAAACGTGTCTCATCGACAGAATGACTTGCCTCTTCCAAATCCAATGCCAGCCACCGTTTTCCGCTTCCTTCCTAGGGCCACCAGTTTCTTTGAGCTGATTATGCGAATAAACACGGCCTGCAGTGGCAGTCACAAGAAGAAAGTTTTTAGCTTTTCTTTCTGTCTCAAAATTGTAAACAGGTTCTGGTACGAATAACTCTGCCAGTACATACTAAAAACAGTTTAAATAAATTATTTTATGGTTTTTGGATGATACCGTTAAACTATTTTGCATTGTTTGATAAATTTTAACATTTTTCAAAATCTGTTTTTAGTGGAACAAGCACCTTATAATTTATTATTTTATCTTTTATTGAATTAATTTTATTACTATAAAATTATATTATGCAAAATTTTAAATATATTTCATAATTTTATATTTTTATGAGTACATACACTTTTTTAAACAATATTAAAAATAGAATACTCAACAAATTAATGAAGATAACTATGAATTTATTTTTCTTCATGCTATGCAAGCATGGTTGACTTTTGTTAACAATTTGTCCTGAATTGCAAGTCAAACAATCAACCCAAATCGAGGAATATGCAAGGGAAACCAAACATATGATCTTAATATGAATATATGCATATATAGCTTGAATGATGACTTTAACTACCGTTTGATTACAATGATATAATGGTGTCACCAAAGAGTTATGCATGATTCTTTTTATAAAGAAATATTTGCGTACGTTTATGCGTTGCTTTGTTTTGGATTTTGCTGAGCCTACAACGGAGTTCACAATGAATTCAACGAAGATCACAGCGGATGAAAAAGAGCTTGGGTTTCAGTGGATCTCATTGTAAGAATAAATACCCAAAAGCCCAGTATCAGAAACGAGCTCATGATCCTGTCCAGCACATATAAGAATCAGGCGGATTCATTGTTCAATTTCCCATCGACGGTTGGGATCGTTCAAATCAAAGATACAATACAATCTAGTGATAAACTCAGCTGAGTTTGAGTCGAGAGCCACAATTTCAGCTTCGAACATCTGAGACCATTTCTGGTGATTTTGGGTTCAGTTAACGGAGAGATAGAGGGATGGGAGGTAGTCATGGAGGTACAAAGGTGTAACTTTGCATCACCCTAAGAGATGGCATGCCGTCACCGGAAAAGTCTTGTGCGCTGTCATGTGGTAATCTCTTCTTTTCCCTCCCTCCCTTTTAGTTTGCCTCAATCTGAATATTCATTTGTCATGTTTTTCGTCAATATGTAGCTTTAAATCTGTCTTATCGAATAAAACACGCTTAACTATATAATTCCCAATCCGTCAATTTTGCTTTTTTATTGAATGGATATGCTGAGCTACTCATCGGCGAATTGGGTGCAATTTAAATTAGCACAGCTAAAAGAATGATATACCTTGAGAGGGAAGAATCAACTTCTAAAGTACAGGATTGAATTTGAATCAAATTAACTTGATTTTCAGGGAGTTTATGTTTTAGACTTCGCTTGTTTTCCGGGTTAGGCTGCAAAATTTTCGTTAGGGATCATGATCCATGGAAGTTGTGACTTTCATTCGAATATTTATTATTGGTGTGTTATGCTACAGATAATAATAATAATAATAATAATAATAATAATAATAATAATAATAATAATAATAATAATAATAATAATTGTAGTAGAAAGTTCCTTGCAAAATTGAAAACTTTGATACTACAATGCTGGTGGATTTTCTAAAGTTTCTCAAATTCTGGTGGTTCAGGTTTTGGGTCCTTTATCGGGCTAAGCAAGATGGTCCTGTAGTTTTGGTAAGAGATTCCTCTTTTCAACTGTCTTCATAATCTTCCTTATTCGTTGTAACTTCATTTCATTCTTGGGCTGACTTTGTCTCTTAATCTTAGGGTTGGCGACACCCTTGGGAGGGCCATGATGACCACTCTTATGACCATGGAGACATGCATTAGGTACCGCTTTTGTTTTCATGTGATCGCCTAGCATGACTTGTTTAGTTTCTGTTTTGTGTAATTTGGCACATTTCTGATAGGTTAGTTTAACACAGGTGGAAGGGGAGTCATTTATTCTTTGATGCTCGAAAACTTTATTTATTTATTTATTTTTCAGTAACACTAGTTTATTATGACTATACATTGCTTCAAGTCTATAAGTTGAAAGTGTAATGGTGTTTATATTTGTAACATAATTGATGACATTTGCATACATAAAGAATTTAGGATCATGGTTAAAACAAGAATAGAGGAGAGATAAATCTAGGACTTGCATCAGCATTAATAGCTATATAGTTATTATGTAATTTTATATTTTCCTTTTTTTTTCATTTAGTTTGGAGTTAGGAAGTTTAACATTAATATGTTTTGCCAGTCGATGGTTATTTCTTTTCCCCCTCTTTATGTGTTTGTTGTCAATAGAAAGATGTGCATATAAGCATGTTTAGGAAGTACTTACTATAGAATGAAATGCGACATGAACGAAACTTGCTTTCGACTTCAATGATTAGTGGCAATGTGTTTAGCCGTAGCCTGAAGAAGATTATTTTCTTATGGATGACCCGCGCAGATGCTGCTCTGAATGTGTTCTGTTAATTTTCTCCAGTTTAAATAAAGTGATGATGAAATGGGACTGTGATCATGATGAGACGAAAACTGAAGCTCCAATTATATATTTTGTTTTTTTTTTCCAGAAATAGTTGACGTTAGAGTTGTAAATAAGCTGGTTATGTCTACCCTGTATGTAAAACTTGATTCAATAATAATCCTCCTGGGGAATTTCCAATAAACTTTTGTGAAGTTTCTTCAATATTTATAGATCCCATGAGAGGATGAAATATGTGATTGTGGTCTCGATCCATTTGCTCGCTGGGTTTAATATTGTGGGAATGAATCTCACATTTAGCGAATAACAGCAAGTAAATAAAGATAATGCAAAAGTTAACAAAATTAATTGAAAATGCCATATTTAGTTACTTGAGGAAAAATTGATTGCACCCTCATATTTAGGGTTTTACTTAATTTGATTTTAAATTTAGTTCAAAATCGTGCGACTGTTGGACATTTATGAAAATATTTAGGGAAAAAAAACATACACACAATAATTTTCCTAATTTTTATTAAAGGATTAAATTCTCTATTTGACAGGTGAGTGGAACAAAGCTAGTCTTCGTGACACTATTTACAATGTTTTTAAACCGAAGAAGCAAAAGGGTAACTTTTGTTCTTGTAATAGACTTAATTTATTATTTTAATTCATATCTATTTTCGCATTAATTTAACTCATGAAGTTACTCAATTACATCATTCTATTACCCTACCCTTCACTTAAAACCTTAAATTATAAAGCCTAAACCCTAAATCATAATCCTATTACCTATAAACACTAACTTAGGATTTATAATTTAAGATTTTAGGTTAGGGGAATGATATAGAATAATGAAATTAAATAACATTGATGACTAAATTAATACGAAAATACGATATGAGTGAAAATAATAAATCTGATCTATTATAGAGACAAAGATGACCCTTAAACTAATTTAAAATTTTATTTACTATTCCAACCTCAAAAGTCTCAGCCAATAAGTTAAATATCATTACAGACCAAAAAGCTTAATGGGACAACTTTTCTTTTCTCCTGCAAAAGGTCTAAAAAGGCTTCCACTACAACGAGACATTATTATATAAAAATTCCTCATAATTTTTTTTGAATGGTACATTCTTATTAAATTTGTTAGAAAAATACCTTTAAACGGATCATGTAAGATTATCTTGAGTCTTATAAAATTTGTTTAATAAATCTCGTGTTTTATAAATAGAGAAATCTATAAACTTTTTTTAGACAAAGTCATTTAATATTAGATAAATTAATAATAAATGCATAAAACTCATTTTTCATAAAACGTAAGATTTAACATCACTTTTTACAGAACGTGAAGTCATCATCACAGTTTGAAAGATATTTTTCTAACAAATTTACTAAGGGGATTATTTTTTAAGAAAAATAATTATTGAGGGTTTTTAATATAATAACGCCTAAAATGACTGGCTACTTTGTTTGCTTGTGACGCGACCAGGAATCAAAATGTTTTCTGGAAAACAAAAATCTTAA